GACCTTTTTCCTGTACATTCTTGTAAATAAATTATGTGGGTAACGTAAGAATAATTTGTTGGCACAGTTGTGTCTCAGTACAATGTAGAGATAGTTTAGACATATTTGAATTGATCTTAATATTAGGTTCATTTTGTATATTTTTTCACCATTATTGATAATATAAAAATTCAAATATGAGGGGAAGGAAGTGTCCTTGAGTAGGTTATACACATAATTGGAGAGAAAATGTAGTATTTCCCACCTTTGTAAATTTCTGAAGGTTCTCATGTTCACATTTGTCCCTGATTTTATCGATGTAATTTTATGTTCTTTAATGTACAAAGGACCCTTAAGTTATGTCACCTTCAGACCCCACCGGCCCTCAACCCAGCCTTGGAGGCAGCCCACGATGCTCCTTTACATTTTCCTAATGTAGCCTGTTAACGTAAAAAAACATTGAAACCTGTAAAGAATTTGTGTGAGTTTATTTGAGCCAAACTGTCGACATATGCTGGAAGCAGAACCTCAACGAATTGGGGTAATGCTCCGGAGAATGGCAGGATTACAATTGTATTTATACATTGCAATCAAAGGAGGGACATAGGTGGGTTACATGAAATTCATTGGTGATAGATTAAGGAGGAGGGATAAAGCAAAGCAGGGGAAACCCCTGGGATTGGATAAAAAGTAAAATGTAAAGTTTAATTTCAGACCATCCTTTGTGGTTACTTTAGGTCTCTGAGTTTACAAGACTGCCATGCAGGCCTCCCCTGAGCTTGTCAGGTCAGCATGTGGCCCCTTTCGTCCACAGGCCCCAGAGGTGTTGGTGCTTGGCCGGGCAGTAAATAGGGACTGTTTGGGGGATTATTTGCAAAATTAAGAATTCCCAGACGTAGAATCTTCATTTCTTGATATTTGTCAGGCAAATACTTATGCAAGTATAGAAAAAGAAATCTTTAAGAATGCTTATTGCAGCACTGTAATATTTAGTAACAGTTTAAATGCTCAAAAGGAGACTAATGGAAATCCATGTCACAGAATTTTATGATTTAAAGGAATGTCTGGAGATAGAAAGACCTTTAAGATTGAATTAAGTAAGTAAAAGAAATATTTATGAATTAGTTATGTAGAACAGCACTGACAGAAAATACTGACCCCATTTATGTAAAATAGCAACAACAGCCCAAACTGTAGTACAGCGCTGTGTTTCTCTGTGCAGGTACATTTCCTGGGAGGTTCCATAACTGATTACTGAGGCTACCTTTGGGGAGGAGAGTGGGAGGGTTCAGGGAAGGAGATTTTCACTTTGTGTGTATCATTTTAATTTTGTACAAGCCAAATATATTCATGTATATTTTTAAAAAGTCCCAGCTAAGTCTCTGTGCTCATCTTTCAGCTGTGTGAGCTTTGTAGAGCAGGGTTGATGTTGTAATGAACTTGTCACAGATTCACCAGTGATGTTTTTTTTTTTTTTAAATATATTTTATTGATTTTTTACAGAGAGGAAGGGAGAGAGATAGAGAGTCAGAAACATCGATCAGCTGCCTCCTGCACATCCCCCACTGGAGATGTGCCCGCAACCCAGGTACATGCCCTTGACCGGAATCGAACCTGGGACCTTTCAGTCCGCAGGCCGACGCTCTATCCACTGAGCCAAACCGGTTTTGGCGCCACCAGTGATGTTTTATGAAAAGGCAGGGAAACCTAAGACAGGGATTTAAGGTTAGCATATGAATGTATACTTTTTTTCTAAGTTTGAATAAACCTGTTTTGGCTAGGTTAGATGAGGAGGATGCATGATAATTGAGCTTCCTTAGAAGCTGTTAATTGTGAAATAAAGTGGGACAATTACAAAATAAAGAATGACAGGCTCCGCTGGAGAAAGCTGAGGTTTCATTCCATTTTGGGGTAATAGTAGCCCATTGATACATTTGAAGGTACAATTGTTTGGCACTGGATGATTCATTTTAAATTACAGAGCTAATTTCCAACTCTTTGATGTGGTTGTACCCAAAACATCAGTCCTCAAACCGGGGGCCAACACTGCTATAATTAACCATGGTAAAAGCATTTTGATGGTACTTTACATGTTAGTAATAATGTCAACAGTATTGTATCTAGCATGCATTATGGTAACACTTACTGTCCCTACCTGCTAGAAAGGACAAAAGTAATTGAATGCTTATGTTGTAAGGTTTATATGTACAGCTGGGGCACAAGTAAGCTTACAGCTGTTTGTATGGAAAATAATGCAATAACTAATAAACAATAATATGAGAATTTTGTATATTCACAAATGTAAACCTTCTTGTGCCCCACCCTGTGTATACCAGATCATTTGCTCCTCACAGTAGCTCCACAGAGTTTGGAACTACTAGTATCTTCCTCAACAATGTAAGACACTGAGGACCAGAGAGGCTAAATAACTAGCCAAAGGCCATATAGCCAGTAAGTGGCAGACTGGGATTTCCACCCCAGCAGTCAGATCTCAGAACCTGCATTCTTAGCTCAGAAGCACAACAATACAGAGTTCACATGCCTGAAGCTCGGAAAGGCCAAAGCTCATGTCAGAGTTTGGAGTAAGGAGAAGTTTATTAACCGAGAAGTTGCCAATTCAGAAGATGAGAGTTTTAATCCTCAAATCAATTTTAAGAAAGTACAGTGTTCAGGCTTCTTTTATGTCAAGGGAAGGGAAAATGGGAAAGATTGTTTTTGTAAAAACTCAAGTTCCAGGCAGAATTCCTCTGATGATCAGCATGTTGAAAGCAGGAGCTGTTAGCCGGAAGGCCAGGGCAGCAATGCAGACGAGTACAAGATGGACTCAGTGAGACTGCCATTTCCCTCTCCGACATCCTTAGAGTTGACATCAACTTGGATGTCTCAGAGGCACTTCACATTTACTTTAATTCAAGACCAAACTCATGAACTTTATCCTCCGCCACTTTGTGTTTTTATGGTTCTGTCATCTCCTTTCATCCACTTGTTGAAGCCAAACACTTAGGAGATACTTCCCACAGAGTTTGGAACTTTCCTAACCTCAGCCAGACCTATTATCTCTTGACTAGACTGCAGCTTGTGCCTCGAAGCTTCTAGCCCTATTCACTTTTGGTGTGATCTCCAAAGATATCGAAACCATATTTCCCCCCTGCTTGAATATGTGTGTGTATATGACTTAACCCTCCTTCACTGATCATTCCTTATTTTTTTCACAGGACTGTAAGGATAGGATCTAGCCCAGCTGTGGGCAAACTACGGCCCGCGGGCCGGATCCGGCCCATTTGAGATGAATAAAACTAAAAAAAAAAAAAAAAAAGACCGTACCCTTTTATGTAATGATGTTTACTTTGAATTTATATTAGTTCACACAAACACTCCATCCATGCTTTTGTTCCGGCCCTCCAGTCCAGTTTAAGAACCCATTGTGGCCCTCGAGTCAAAAAGTTTGCCCACCCCTGATCTAGCCTGAGGTGACCTCTTCTCTCATTGGTTCTCTTCTTCTTCTCCTGAGTGGCAGGGCCTGCAATGGGGCCATGACTATTGGCCAGGGACCACGAGTCAGAATTAAAAGGACTCTTAGGCGGGCTTTTTCTGGGCTGAGAATTCTCTGGGTGGGTCTAGATCCTGAGAAGGTTCACGGGGAAGGATAATGGTCTTAGCAAGTGGAATGTCCATTGTGAAGTGGTCTAAAGATCAGTTCCCAGGGTAGGATGGAACAGGGGGTCTCTCGGGGGTGAGGACGACGGAGCCCAACACGCTGGGGCGTTTGCATGCACGACTCCGGAGACCAGGTTCAGAGACACAGATCTAAGTTTATTGAGGAAGTACAGCCATATATAAAGGCGTAAGCAGCCAATACAATAGGGACACGCTTGCTATGTTATCCAATGGGCGTGAGGGTCGGGGCTAAGAGTAGGTGGCTCTTGGAGATTTGTCAGGCGGGAGTTGCCACTTCCTGGTGTGCCAAGGAAGCATGTTTGCTGGAGTGTGCTCACAGTGTTGCATCGGCCACAGCACCGAGATAAATCTCTTGCGCTCTGCCCACAGTAGTGGATATTGATTCAATTATTTGATCAGACCTAACATTCCAGCCTTTTTGTTTTATGGAATAGGGACGAAGGTCATATCTTCTGTAGTTAAAAAATCCTGCTGAGGAGGGACATTGAGATCATAGGGGGAGACTTTGATTGTAGTCGACTGGAATGTTGTGTATATTCCTCCTGGTTGGAGTGAAGGGGTTGCAGCAGTATGATTTCCCTGAGAGACTGGTTAGTGAAGGCGCGAGAGTGGTCCTGAAGGAAAGATGAAAAATGGCACAGAATAGCTGAGCCAAAAATGAGGATGAGGAATAGGAGTGCTAATGGTCCTATGAAGGGAAGTAGCCAGGTATACCAGTTAATATTCTTTAGCCAGTAGTCCCATGAATATGATTGATGCTCTCTAATCTTTGTGGCCCTTTCTGTTAATTTTTGGATGGCATCCCTGACCAGGCCAGACTGATTGACATAAAAACAACATCATTCCTCTAGAAAGAGTCATAGACCTACCCTTTCTCCATAGTTAGGATGTCCAGTTCTCTCCAGATTTTGGAGGTGACAGCTGCTAGTGAATCTGTCTGATCCTGAATTTGAACTAAATTTTTGGCAATGTCATCTAGGTTTTCTTGTAGGTCCTGAGATAGGATTTCAAAATATGATAGAGCAGTGGTTAGGGCCCCTATGCCAGTCCCGACACCTGCTGTGATTGCGAGGATTTTGAGGAGAGGGATTATCTGGACTGCTCTTTTGTGTTGGCTATGATGGGTTACTGGGATAGGTAAAGACTAATTATTGGGGGCTACATCTACATTGGATGAGAGATAGATGAGAGTACAGGTTCCTGCCCAGTTGGTCGGGAGGCAGATGTATGTGTTTTCCCCACAGAGGAAGAAGAATCCCTGATCATGCAGACAAGCTGAAAGGTAGGGAGAAGAGATGGACTAAAGGATATGAAGTTCCTTTCCCAGTTCTATGCTCCAAATCAAGAGGGGAGTTACCATGGCGCTACCGATAAGAGGTGACAGTTGAGTGGATGAGATTCTATTGCTGTGAAAGTGGGTGGGAACGCTAGGATGGGCTGTTATCCAAGGGAAAAGCGAAAGGGAAGGAAAAGAGCTGTTGAAGCTTTGGGCCTGGATGGTTGGATAAGAAGTAAAACCGATCGGCTGTAGAAATAACCATTGGCTTCCGGGTGTTATGCTCAGATTTCAAGACCCCCCACAGAACCACCAGGGAGCTCCGAGTCCGATGTAAAAGCATAGAGTCTTTTATTCAAGCCCGGGACTTGGTCCCCCCGCCCTTGCCTCCATTACTGGATGCAAGAGAGAGCCCCGAGTCCCAAGGGAACAAAGAATTTATAGGGCTTGGGGTCGAGGGGTGGGGGCACACTCTGACCACTGATTTGGCCAATTCCGGTTGGTTTAGTGAGGGCCGGGGAGCTAGTGATGCAAGGGCAGGGTGCAGCTAGGGTCTGGTTACACAAAGACGGGGGGTGGCTAGCATACTCTTGGCCTTGGGCTAGTTTCCCTCGCTTTCCCATTTGCCGAGATAAGGGCAGGCTGAGTAACTGATATAGTCTGCGGCTTTTTCTTGGAAGAGGGGTTAAGGACACAGCTATCAGTCCTGTTCTGTCCTTTCATGGGGAGACCTGGTAGTTAACCTGTTCAGACCAATGGCTATTGGGTAGTTCTAAATTAACTGTGGTATTGCAGGCTGATGATAGGAGATGGCCTATTGCTATATTGCCCTGTGACCTTGTAAAGCATAAAGGGGTTTGGGGGATTAGTAGGGTGTGTAGAGTGATAGGACATGTGACCAGAATGGAGGAAGGAGCTACCTTAGCAAGAGACTGAATATAAGAATGGAAATGAAAGGAGGCTTGATGCCTGGGCTGCAGGATAATTACCTAGAAGGGTGTCTGGCTTTTCAAGAAATACAGTTCCCTTTTCCTTTTTATAAGCTAGAGTGATTTTTGCCTGATTCCATCTCTTGGTTGGGATAGGGATGGTGGCATACGCTGAAGAGGAGAGGGAAAGGCAGAGCCAGCAGTTCCTGGCTAAGGTTGGATTGGTCTGGTTTAGGAGGCAGTGGGGAAAGCTAAGTGTTCATTTGAGATTAGTGAAGGTGAGAAAGTTCCTTATGGGTATAGGAGAGGAGGGTTGAAATAGGATGAGAAGGAGAACTAATCCACACTTCCAGGGCTGGGCTTACCCCAGTCGGGGGAAAGCCTATGTTTGGGATCTAGAAAGAGGGAAATCTCGTCCCATGGGATGGTGGTGTTCCAGAGACGGGTTATAATCTGGAAAGGTGGAACCAAGAGGTATGCCTGGATAGTTTAGCTGTAGTTGGGGTGGTTAGGAGTACCTGATAAGGGCCTTGCCATCGGGGCTGTAAATTATTTGACAAGTGGATTTTCCTTTAGGAGGACCCAGTCCCTGGCTGTAGAGGAGTAGGGGGGATGTCTCCTGTAAAAAGGTCAAGGGAAGACCTGATCAGCATGTTCTCTCAGTAATTGTCTCACAAGATTTAAAATAGAGACATAGTGCCCTAGCCAGTTTGGCTCAGTGGATAGAGCTTCCCCCTGTGGACTGAAGGGTCCCTGGTTTGATTCTGGTCAAGGGCACATGCCCAGGTTGCGATCCCCAGTAGGGGGTGTGCAGGAGGCAGCCAATCAATGATTCTCTCTCATCATTAATGTTTCTCTCTTTACCTTTTTCTTACTCTCTGAAATCAATACAAATATATTTTTTAAAAATAAAATAAAATGGGGACATAGTCCCTAGAGGGGTCCCTGTGGAAGGGAAGTTTCCTAATAAGAGGGTCTTCCATACATGAGTTCAAAGGGACTAAGGAAGGTGGTTGCCTTGATGTGCATAAGTGCTAGAGGTAGGAGAGTAGTTTAAGGTTCTTTAGTTTTGTGAGTTAATTTAGTTAGGTGAGACTGAATTAAGGAATTTGTTTTTTCTACCTTGCCTGAAGATTGGGGCTGGTAGGGGCATGTAAGTTCCACTGGATGTTCAGAGTGGAGGAGACCTGTTGCGTCATTTGAGATGTGAAAGCAAGTCCATTATCTGATTGCAGTGAGGTGGGGAGGCCAAATCTGGGGATGACAAGCTGAATGGGAGCTGTGTGACCTCGGAGGACTTTCAGACGCGGTGGGCAATGCTTCTGCCCAACCTGAGGAGGTGTCTACGAGGGTTAAGAGATACTTGGTTCTTTTAATGGGGGACAAGTGAGTGCAGTCAATCGGCCAGTCTTGTCCAGGGGTTTGGCCCCTTGCCTGATGAGTGGGGAAAGGAGGAGGTCTACCCTGTCCTGGGGGAGATACTGAGTAACAAGTAGAACAGGTTTTGGGGATATCTTGCAGTAGGGAGGTTAGGCTAGGACATGTGATGGGGGCGGGGGAGGGTTAGGATTTGTAGAAGCGGTCTGCATCCTATATGTAGGGAATTGTGAGTAGCCCCAAAGATATCACGGGCCTGTCCCTGGGTAAGGATATACATGTCCTGAAATTTTAACCATGGATCTTCCTGAGTGGCCCCAAGAGCTAATAGGGACTAAGCTCCTCTGGAGTGTATTAGGGTGTTATCTGAGGTAGAGCTAAGAGTTGGGGAGACAGGGGCTTCCTCTGAGCTGCTGCCTTGGCCTCCTGGTCTGCTTTGTTATCTCCCTATGTTACGGGATCATTCCTGACTCGGTGTCTTTCACATTGTATGACCATTAAGAAGGCTAGAAAAGGGGAGAGAGGGTCCTAAATGCCAAGCAGGAAGACCTGTGAGGCTTGCAATGATAGTGTCATGGACTATGAATGAGCAGTGGAAATAAAGAAAGTCTAGACCTAGTTAAAGACCTAGGCCACAGGAGAGCCTGGGCGGCTGCTTTAGCTCACTCGGAGAGAAGGGGTCCCTTCAGACATCAGGGGGATCAGGTCCTGACTCACTGGACAGACTTTTCTACAACTTTCACAAATCTTCCTACCCATTCACAAATAACCAGCTTTAGTGAAAAAGTAAACAACCAGCATTTCTTAGATTGACATTTATGAACACATTTTAAACACACTCTTACTTTCCAGAAAATATACCTTCAACAAAGTACAAGAGGCCTTCTGTACTAAAAGTGAAGAGCAGGCAAATTTAAAACTTGTCTAACAATCAGTGTTTCAGTATTTTATGTTATTTAAAAACATTTAGATGTTTGTCATTTAACCCAGCAATGCTCCAAAGCCTTTAAGTTACCGAAGACTGTGGATAATTATGTACAGGCACATGGGGCTGGAGAAAGGGCCGGGGAGG